TCATGAAGAGAGCCGGACTTCAGAGGACGACCAGGACATCAACAGCTGAGGGTGTGGGGAGGGCGTCCCAGGTCGACAGCGTGGGTGACGCGGGGAAACACGAGAGGGTGGAACCGCAGACGGGGCTGGAGATGACTTCGCCGCCGCCGCCCGTTAAGGAACTTGAACTTTGTTCTGTGAGCGAGGAGGAAGCCTTTCCGATTGTTCATCAGGGGAGTGACGGTCAGCTTCGCGTTGTAAAGAGATCTTTCTGGCAGACGTGTAGTAGCTGTACGTGTGGGCTCCAGAGGCGCCGCCAGGTTCCAGTCCTGGCTGCCGTGCTGAGCCGGCTCAGGGAGGCGAAGCAGCTGTAACAAATAGGGAAAAACACACCTATGGATCAGACAAGAGAAGCTCATTTCTGGATCACTGAACTCCACGGAGGGTGTGTCTTCTTGGGGCCTCACCAGCCCCAGGGCCTCACGGTCTTCAGCATCAGCTGGTGGAAGGTAGAGAGACGATGGAGGAGACAGGCTGGCTGTTTTATAAATCCTGGACTAAACGTGGCACGTCCCCCTTCTGCACACCTTCCGTGGGGGAGAATCTGGTCGGACGGCCACACCTCCTGCAAAGGAGGCTGGGAAATTCACTGTAGCTACGTTCCTGACCATTCCTCCTGTTACTGTGGGGCAGTGCTGTGCACTGGAACTTTCTGCAATGACGGACATGTTCGAAATCTGTGCTACGGGCGTGGTAGCCACTAGCCACATGAGCGCTTGAGGTGTGGCTAGTGAGACCGAGAGCTGAACTGCTAATTTTACTAACTTGTCATTAATGTAAAGAGCCACACGTGGCTAGTGGCCATGGCATTTTCTAAGTGGTGCAGCTAAAGAGGAAGGAGGGGGTGGATTTTGGTGGACAGGGTGGTCTCTGCCACAGCTGTTTAATAACCGGGTGAGATCAGACAACTTATTGGACACCTCTGTCTCACTTCCCTCAACTGTAAAATGGGTGTAGAGTGGTGTCCACCTGCAAGGCTATCGTGAGGAGTAAGAGATCATTCGGGCCAAGCACTCAGCGCCTGCGCAGAATCAGAGCTCAGCCAAGGTTGCCTCATGGATGACCTGGTGGCAGGACTCCAGTTAGGAGCATGTGCCGCAGTCCGGGGGAAACTCCTGTCCAGCCTCACCACCAAATATGCCCTTTGCTTGACCAAACTACACCACTGGTTCTTCTCAGAACTCCACAGCACACGCCCTCTAAACTAAGCTCTGTCTGCTTGACCCACCATCCTTTCCTCTCTACCTGCTGACATCCCGCCCAGCCATCAAGACCTGGTTCAGATGCCACGTCCCCATGAAGCCCTCTCGTCCCCCCAGCTCCACAGCCTCCAAAGGCCCCGGTGCCCTGTGTGTCCTCCAGGACCTACCACATCGTGCCCAGGTCACTCAGCTGGTTGTCTTCTGCATCCGTCTAGACAGAGTGTTTCTTACCCACCTCTCCACGTTCCACTCTGCCCGGCAGAATGCTTTGTGTGTTCGGGGCAGCAACCAGCGTCCATTGCACCAAGCTGGATTCATCTGGGGCAGAGAGTTCCAGAGACGTGTTCCTTAGACAGTCAGAGCGGGAGACTGCGTCTACACAGCACCAAACAAAGCAAAGCTTTCGCGATCACCCAGGTCCTTGAGTCTGTGTAGCAGTCTGGGTGGGAGAATTCAGGCTACCTCCTTGGCATGTAGTTTGCAGAATCTTTTTGACATTTGCACAATTTTTATTCTCCCACACGTCTCTACAGAAACTGCCTTTCAGTTTGCATGCCTCTTACCACGTGTCTTTTTCCGCTGTCTGTGAGGCTGTTCCTGGCAGAACTCCTGACCAGAAACCAGCAGGGAGGCCTGGAACCACTCAATCTGGCTGCCTAGACACGGGTCCAGAGAACCGTGTGAGGGCTCAGTGACGGTGAAGTCACAGGGGACCCGTCCCACATTCTCGGTGTCCCTGGGCAAGCCCGACGGTGCCCTCAGGACGGCCTTTTTGACATCCGTCTCAAAACCTTAAGGATGTTCCTCCAAATACGCTAGGTCCCCTAAGAGTCCATTAGAGATTTTCATTAATCCACTTTTATTTATTCATCCGAGAGGAATTTGTCAAGCTACTGTGCCAATACTATTTTGGTGTTTAGAATATGAAACAGACAAAGTTCCTATTTTCAAGGAGTTTCATTCTAGTTGGGTGGGAAGAAAATTGACAAATGTGTGTCAGATGTCGGTATGTTCCACGAGGAAAATGAAAGAGGGGCATCTCATGATCTATGGCTACACAACAAACCAACCCCAAACTTCATGGTGTAACACAGCAATTGATGGTTTCCCATGAGTCTGTGGGCTGGCTGGCCTCTCCTGGGCTCTTGCCCTGGGCTCCCTCTCCAGGTCGCTGGAGGCTCATTGAGGGCGAGAGCCTCTCGCACGTCCGGGGCCCTGGTGCTGGCTGGTCCTCTCTCCGCATGGCTCTCGTCACTTGGGAGCCTAGCCCGGCCTCCTTCCACGGTGGAGAGGGCAGTCCAAGACAAGGCAGAGGCTGTGAAGTGACTTAGGACTGGGTCACACCATGCCAATTTCACCTCGTTCTGTTGGTCAGTGCTGGTCACAAGGCCAGCCCAGTCTCCAGAGTTGGGAGGTAGAGGCCAGCTCTTGACAGAGAAGCTGCAAAGGACTTGCGGCCGTTTTCTTTTTCTCCAGCTTCGTTGGGATATAATTGATGTATCGTATAAGGTAAAGATGCAACATGTTGATTTGACAAAGTTACGAACTATAAAATGACTAGACTCACGGCCACTCTTAATCCCCCAGACAGGGTGGAGGAACGGTGAATGAGAGGCAGAGAGAGGCCTCTCTGATGAGGGGTCATTGGACGGAGGGCTGAATGAAGTGGGTAGTAGCCGTGCCAATATCTCAGCGTTCCAGGCGGATGGAATTGAGAGCAAAGCTCTGAGGCCAGACCAGCGTGAATCTCTGCATTTAAGACAATGATGCGACATTCAGGCTTTGAGGGAAGATGCTCTTATGCTACTTATGGGAAATCCAGTTGCCCTGGGGGACAGTAGAGAATCCTCGAGTGAGCTGAACCGAGTTAAACTGGGGACACTTGAATTGGAGACGCTGCGATGTGCGGGTGAACCGTTCCTGCGATCTAAGACCAAGGAGAGTGTTCCTGCGCATCCCTGCTGCTTCCATCCTCCACTCTCCCAGCCCGATGTTCCCGGCGTCTTCTGTGCCCATGGTGGAACCCCAGAGAGGTGAACACTCTTCCTCCGTCCAGCTCCAGTGCCTCTGGTCCCTGGGAACCCACGTCCTCCCCTCAGCGGCTTGTGGGAACCTCTCTATGAGCCCATCGAGGTTTGCGAGTTGGAGGGAAAGGCGTCTGATTCACTCAAGAGAGCACAGAGTGGGCGGGGCATTTGTGCCGTAACTATTCCCCATCACCCGGATGGTCTGAGCGTCATCGGGTAATTACTGGAGAGGCAATTATGCGGCTGACTGGCTGCCAGACACTTGCCACGGCTCTTCTGGCCCCTGGCTCTACCTGGGACTATTAAGTGTAATGACGCTGTCACGCAGAGGAGCCTGTCATTATCCCCGTGTTAACACGGTGTTTACCCACAAAACCTGCCAGGTCACTGTAATTAAGGGCCTCTGTGTGGTCCCCTGCCCCAGCCTTGGACAGTCCTCTCGGGAAAGGTGTCAGGGCAGAAGTGGCTTCACAAGGCTGAGAAGACAGGCCAGGGTCATCCTAGGGGGCTCAAGAGGGACACCGTAACCAAGCCCCCCATTGCCAAAGCCTGGGGCATGCACTCCAGCCTCAGGAAGTGGAGGCCCCGGCACAGCCCCCTGCAAATCAGCCACCTGTCCAGAGGCGCTAACCCACTGGCCACTGAGTGAGGTGAAAGCCACCTTTAGAAATCCGAAAGTGGTGTCTCCTCTGCTCCCGCATGGGGAGGGCATCCCGTCTTGAGACGCAGAGCACACGCCTGGACGTCGGCGGCTATGCCTCTCAGTTCCCAGCCACTCTCGCTGGCTTCCTGCTCTTCGGACGGGGCGCCCTGTCTTTCGGGCTCCTTTCTGGTTTATCTCACATGAAGGGTACAAACGCAGAAGACCCCTGAGGTGATGGAAGAGGGGAGGTTCTGATCACGAGCGGGTCAGGATTTTGCCCCTTTGCCCCGACCAGGCTGTGATGTGCATCCTTGCACGGCGTCTTCACACCCCAGAGCAGGCTTCTCTGTAGGACAATCTCCTGGCCTTGGAGTAACTGGGAATGAATCTTTGAATTTGAAAAGATATCGTTCAATTACCTCTGAAATGTTGTACATAAATTCCTACTCATAGTTGATTAGAATGCTTGTTTCCCCACATCCTTACCAACTTGGGTTGCTACCACTTTTTGAAATTCTCTCCATTGTTTTCTGATTGTACGTGTGATCTATGTTCATAGTAAAAAAAAAAAAAGGGAATGCAGAAAAGAGTAAGAGAAACTAACAATTCGCTGTCATGCCACTGCCCAAAGATAAGAAGCCCTGTGCATTTTTATAGGAGACGACAACAGGGGCCACGACAGGCAAGGAGTCACCTGTGGGACCATCCCTAGTGCTCCCCGAGCGCTGGGGACAATGCGTCACCCTGTTGCTGTCCCATTCTCCCGTCAGCCCCTCCCCAGCCGCTCATGTCTCCAAAGGCTGAGATGTTTCCTGAGCCAGCAGGGACTCCTTCCGAGGGAGTGAGTTCCAATGGCCACATCCTAAGTGTCCCCTCAAAACAGTTCTGCTGCCAGAAGGCTCCAAGCCTCAAGGCTGCTGGAGGAGGAACGGGATGTGAGCATCCCAAATATGTTTCCAGGCATTGGCAGCTCGATCTGGAGACTGGAAACATCTCTCTGGCCAACCCCGGAGCCAAGTTTCCATTTCTCAGGGACCCCGACATGCCCCGTTCGGCTGCCACTAATGACTGCTCTGCCTTCCGTTCCAGAGACCTGAATTACAACGAGCTGAGGGAGTTCCCCATCGCCATCCGGACCCTGGGCAGACTGCAGGAACTGTGAGCTCCTCTGTTGGTTTCTCTGGCGTCCTCTTCTCCCAGGGCAGGGATGGAAGCCAGGCCTGGGCCTCCCGTGCACCCTCACCTCCTGTGGTCCTTGTGAAAACTGTCGCTGCCCCTCCAGCCCCCAGGGCAGGTCTGAGTGGTCACAGGCCTCACTAGCTTGGCTCTGGGCATCTCTGAGGGGTGTGTCAGGAGCAGAAATGGCCCTGAGCACTTCCAGCCTGGGAGACACGTGGCACCAGCCGCCTCCTGTTAGGCCGGGCCTGGCACCGCCCCTGCCTTGGTTGGGTGCATCCGGAGATGAGTGAGAAGAGGAACTGGGGATGGTTTCTGGGGTCACTCCTCAGCACCTTGTCCCCTTGGGGGAGACGAGAAGCTGGCTTTGGTTCCCCAAGCCACCACTTACTATTATTCTATTTTAGCATTCACTGAGTACCTGCTATGCCGAGCCATCCCCAGGGATCCTTCAGGCCCATTGAGGACACAGTGACGTGTGTAATGCAGGGAACAGGACCAGGCAGTTAGGCTCGTATATAATTCTGACCCTAAACTGTGACATCTTAGTTGAAATGATTGTAGGAGTCCAGAGTGACATCGAAAGAGTGTTGTGGGCTAAGGCGTCTTGAGATGGGCCTAGAAGGAGGATGGAGGACCGTGTAGGAAAAGATCTAGACAGAAAAGCCGAATGGGCAGAGGGCCGACCCCAGGAGGGGAGCATGCCGACGGGGGAGGATCCCGGGCAACAGCGAGAGACATACTGACGCTGGAGCAGAGCCGGCTGAGGAACCACAGTTGATGGTCAGAGCCCCAGATGCTGAGACAGCACAGCATCTCCACTCCAACTACCCCTCCCCGCCTCCACCCCGCCCGGAGGTCTGAAGGGGCGAAGGCCGATGCACATAGCAATAGGCAGCAGCCGCACCAGCCAGAGGGAAGGGTCCACATGAGGCGCGCCAGACAGTCACCAAGGCCTGACTTTTCCTTTGAGCTGGGACGTGAGGAAAGGACGAGATTTGGTCAATCGAGAGGGAACAGGGTGTGCCAAGGTGTGAGGAGAGGGGACAAGAACGCATTAGAGGAGAGAGCCAAGACCGAGGTTAACAGAAGCAAGAAGGGCCTGTGTGGAAGTGTCTGTCCGTCCGTCTCTGTCTCTCTACGTCTCTGAGAGAAGCTGCCTCAGTCTTAAGAACTTCTGAATCCCTGGGGGCTGAGCGCAGCACTGGACACAGAGGCGGTGTTCCAAAGCAAGCAGGGGATGAACGGGTGAACGAACAGGCCTGGGTGGGAGGCACGGGCCGGTGGTGACCCTGTGAGAGAGGGCTTGGAGGTGGAGGTCACGCAGGGAGGGCAGGACAAAGAGAGAGGGGACAGAGCCAGGAGGATGCAGGGAAAACCCAGAAATCTCCCGTGAAAAGGAGGAAAGGGGCCTGCTCAGCATGGATCATGTACTTTTCAGTCTAACTTGTATTTCCAGATATGCTCCCCAGCTAACCAAACCCATGGTTCCCGGCTTCCAGAGGCCCAGACCCTCCACCGGGCACCTCGTTCCTCAGTCCCCATAATGCCGTCCACAGTCACTCAACATCCCGCTCGGCATTGTATCCCTCTCGCTGCCACTGCACTTCCGTGTCCTTCAGTTTCAGGGCCTCGGGGCCACGCCAGCCACCACTTGGGGAGTGTCCCTCACCCCCAGAGCCCCTAGAAGTTCTGTTCTTTCCGTGTCCTCCTCCTCCTCCCACCCACCCTCAGCTTCCTCCTTGGGGACCCTCCAGGGTCAGGGAGAAGGATGGTGAGTTCCCGAGCAAAGGAGAAAAGTCACAGGCAGGGTTTGACCCTGGACTGTTTGACCCAGGCTGAAGTCCTCTGGTCTCACGGCCTTGTGGTCGGCTGTCCGAGAGCTCCGTACACTCAGGTCCCTCCCTCTACTCCCTCCTCCCCGAGTCCTCGCTGACCCCGGGCTGTCTTCCAGGGGCTTCCACAACAACAACATCAAGGCCATCCCGGAAAGGGCCTTCGTGGGGAACCCTCTGCTGCAGACCATGTGAGTCCTGGCTCCTCCGTGTCCTGGTGCTGAGCGGCGTCTGGGGGACGAGGACAGGGTTGGGCGCAGGAGCATGGGGAGGGGGCTGCTCTCCTGGTCTCCATGGTCCCGGCTGAAAGGGCCAAGGAACTGAACTTCGCGTCTTCTTGCAGACACTTCTACGATAACCCCATCCAGTTTGTGGGAAGGTCAGCGTTCCAGTACCTGCCGAAGCTGCACACGCTGTAAGTCGGCTTCGGAAGGCCGACGTGGCCTGGACCTCTCCCTCCCTCACTGCTCCTCCGCCCCCGCCCCCATCTGCAGACCCCCACCCGCAAGGCTCAGCCCCCACTGGAGGGTGTGGTCTTCAGGGCTGCAGCCCCTGCTGGGCTCAGGCCTGTTTGCAGACCGGTCCACTCTCCACGGCCGCCTCCCCCTCCCTGTGGCTTCTTCTCCATCTCAGATGGGAGGAGGGCCCTCTCCACAGTCGGGGAGTTCCATCCAGGCTCTTTAGTCCTGCTCAAGGCCGCTGCTCCTTAAGGCCTGGCTGAGGTCTGGCTCTCCCGTGGCCTTGGAGCATGGGTCCCGGGGCCTTTGCTGGACCACCTTTAGCCCAAAGACATTCCTTCGTCTTCTCCCTGCCATTCTTTTAGTTCCCAGCCTGAGCCCCACTCCTTCAAAAAAGCTTCCTGGGGTTACTCTCGGCGTACGGCATCACGGTGACAGAACCAGCATCTCCAGGCACGCACTTGGTGTGCACCTCCCTTACCGCACTCTGTCTTCACCCCGTGCCTGTGAGGCTGTGTTGTTAAGACGCTTTATAGACAGATTCTGAGGTTCTCAGGTCCTGACTGGGCTTGAACCCAGGACCCTTGACTCCAGCTCCTGGGCTCCTTTCTAGACCCCACACCACCCCCTTGGGTCCACAACATCCGTGTCCTCGTGCTCCTGTTGTGCGCAGGCCCCGTGTGGTCCATGTCCTCGCCGAGATGGGGGTGGCATGGAGGGGGAGCCCTCGGTCTGAAGCAGCATGAAAGGACCAGTGAGAGGTTCTGATAAAGCCCTAGGAGATGACAACTTAGCGAGGCCCTGCGTCAGCTCTAATAAGCAAAGCCCAGAGCCAGGGACCTTACAGAAACGCCCAAGCTGTTGCCTTAAACAGAGGCCATCACCATGGTCCTTCCTGTGCTGGTTTGCTCAGTGGGGCCTGAGCTCAAGACGGCTGGCTCTGTCTGGGGACAGTGGGCTGAGCCACATAGGAAAAGGGCCGCGTGGATCGTGCTAAGCACAGTGCAGCCTCGGGCAGGGCCTGCGACCTAGGACGTTTGGAGGGAGGTTGCGGGGAGGATGACATTTCCCCGAGAAGGGGAGTCTCTGAAAGGGAGATCTTGAGGATTAGAGCCGGATGGTGAGACGCTCCACCCAACCCTTCAGAGCTTGTTGCCTCTGTTTCCAGATCCCTGAACGGCGCCACGGACATCCAGGAGTTCCCAGACCTCAAAGGCACCACCAGCCTGGAGATCCTGTGAGTGGCCACTCCCGCCTCCCCCTCCTCCGGCCCCAGCTTCGCCCCCAGGAGCTATTCTGCCTAAGGCCGTCCAGGTCCTTTGCCTGCCCCTTATCTGGCCTGCCTCTGCTGCTGGCTCCAGCCTGGCTCGGCCCCAGGCCATGGCCATCTCCTGATGTGACACTGCTGCTGCAAGGCCAGGGGTGGCAGGTGGTCAGGATGAGGAAGCTGGGCTTCCCCCATTCACTCTGCTCTGACGTCAGGGTTCCTGACCCTGGCCCCAGACCCGTGACGGGGAGGAGGGTTGTGAAAACCCATTTCCTTCGCCTGCCTGAAGCTTGACCCCAGCAAGGACCTTCTCATATTCCCATTATTGTAGCCTGTAGAGGGGAGCGGGTGCCAGAGTACAGTAGGCCCTCGGTGCACTTAAGAGAATGAATGGGGCCACCAAGCAAACACCAGAGTGATGTCAGGAAGTCAGCTGTCCTGCCCCACGTCACACAGCTCGCTCGTGGCCGGGTCGGGCACACTCCTCTGTGCCTTTCTGTCTCCCCCAGATTCCCTGGCATCTGGAAAATTTCCCGTGAGGGAAGTCAAAGTTCCCCAAGGATGGCCTTGGCTGGAGTCTTTCCTGGACACTCCGTCCCTAAGCCAAGCCCACTCTCCAGCCTGCCCGCACAGCCCTCCCCGCCCCGGGCCTTCCCTCTTTCCCACCTCTTCTCCTCCCCAAGGCGCAGGGAGCAAACTCTGTGCTTGGTTCTCATGACTCCACGGGGGTGTTTTTCTGTAGACTCCTTGCCCATGGCTATCCTTCCTCTCTAAGGAGAGCAGAGAAGATTCTAGTCCCTGTCCTATAGACCCCGTGTTTCTGGAGATCATTACGAGACGCTGGATGGGGATGTGGCGGGTCGGGTGGGGCTGGGCGTGCAGGCACCGTCTGCCCATCAGAGCCCCTGGGCTGTGTCCCTCTCTGTCCGCTGCCCCCCCAGCCTCCTCCAGTCCCAGGGGAACTCCATGCTCAGGTGCCAGGGCTGCTTTCTCTCCCCACAGCCCCACCCCCACCCTGTGCCTCCCACCTCTTCCCCTCCCACGTCAGCATCAGCCCCAGAGCTGAAGACAGGAGGCCGGGGATGGTAGGGCCCTGGGCCTGGTGCCAGCACTGTCTCTGTTCTCCCTGCAGGACCCTGACCCGCGCGGGCATCCGGCTGCTCCCACCGGGGATGTGCCAACAGCTGCCCAGGCTCCGAGTCCTGTGAGTGGCTCATGAGCATTCTCCAGTCTTGGCCCTGTGCCCTCACTGCCGTGGACTGGGAAAGGGCCCTCCTGCTCTGTCCCACTGGGTCACCTGTCTCCTGCAGAGAGGGACAACGTGAGCTGCTGCTGAGAACCTGTCCGGGCCGTCCCCTCTGGTTCAGGGCAAAGAGACAGTGGTCTCTGGGGTCAGACCTGGGTTTGAGGCCCAGATCTGCCACCTACTTTGTTGTTAGTGCTGTCGGGTCTATTCTGACTCCTCGCCGCCTGTTGTCCAGCAGAGCCGAGCCCTGCCCAGTCTTTCCGCGCCATCCTCTCCCCTTCTACAGCTCTATCAGACAACGCTCCGCTGCCATTCACAGGGTTTTCATGGCCAAGTTTTTCAGAAGTGGATGGCCGGGTCCTTCTTCCTAGTCTGTCTTAGTCTGGACGCTGCGCTGAAGCCTGTCCACCATGGGTGACGCGGCTGGTATCTGAAATCCCGGTGGCAGAGCTTTCAGCATCACAGCCACACGCAGCCGCCACAGTGTGACAATGACAGACGGGCAGTGTAGTTCCCTGACCCAGGAAATGAACCCGGGCCACAGGGGTGACAGCAAAGTATCTTAACCACTAGACCCCCCAGGCTGGCTCTTACTGCCGTGCGAGTTTGGACTCACTCTTTAACGTCTCGAGCTTCAGGGTCCTCGTCTGCAGAATGAGGACAAATCTGTGAGGTGAGGAGATGTTTGTCGAGCAGCCGGCGCATGGTGCTCACACCCAGTAGGCATGCAGTTGGGGGCCTGTTGCTCTGTTTGCACGGGACAGAGCCGCGGGATATCCCAGCAGCCTGTGAGGTCGAGGGGAGTTATCCTCACTCCCCTGACTCCAGCTGGGCTCTGAGGGTCCTCCCCACAGACCGTCCCCACACTCGAGATGGGGAGACGACACCCCAGGTGGAAAAGCGCTAGACTGCGTGTCCGGAGGCCCGAGCTCCAGACCCAGCCCTGCCACTGCCTGGCAGTGTGTCCTTCAGTGAGGCCTGTCCCCCTCTGTGCCTCTTTCCCCGTTGTTGAGCGGTGCGCGCTGCTCCATCCACCAGCACCACTGGACCGTTCACTTCTGTCCTCATCTCCACGCCCCTCACCTCCGGTTCCTTCCCCCAGGACCCTCCCGGGGTCCCTCAGGCCTTCATCTGCACGGGGCAACCCTACAGGGGAGATGCCAGCTCGGCCCCTCCAGGCCCTGCGGTGAGGGTGGGACTCACCAGCGGGAGGAAGACAAGTCTGACGGAGCAAGCGGGTGCCCTGGTGTGAGGCCTGTCACAGCCGTGTCCCTGCAGGGTCTTCCCAGCCCCCGGCCAGGGCCACTTCTCCTGGCCCCCAGCCCTGGTCTTTCTCTCTCCCCAGGGAATTGTCTCATAATCAAATCGAGGAGCTGCCCAGCCTGCACAGGTGTCAGAAGCTGGAGGAAATGTGAGTCTGGGGTAGGGAAGAGGGGACGGCGTGCCAGCCAGACTCCGGGCAGGTGTGGGGGAGTCAGCAAACACACTCCAACCGTTCTCCCTTCTCTGGGCTCATCGAACCCAGAGCTTAGGGTGGGGAGCGCGGCAGAGGCCTGGACGAGGCCCCTGGGACTCACGGAGGATGGGCCCAGGAGCCCGTGCCCAAAAGGAATCTCAAGGCGGCTCTTTGGGGGTCAACGGCAACACAGAAGTGCAATAGTGATTACAGCCAGCCAAGGGTCAGGGCCACAGCAGAGGGACAGGACCACAGTGGGCCCTGGTGGGCTGGCCCAGGGGCCATCAAAGGAACGAGGGGCCCTGCATTTTGGAGCATGAGCCCTCATTTTCCCCACCCCGTAAACACACATTCATGTATATGCGTGCACACGCACACCCATACACAGAAGACAAAACCTGGAATTCGAATTTGACAAGGAAAAAAACACTCAAAAGATTCTCTAAGCTGTCTCCACCCAGCTTCCGTTTTCTCGAGCCAGCAGGACCCCCACGTCTGCCCCGTGTCCCTAGGCAGGGAAATGCCTTCTGGGGCCACAGCAGAGTAGGGGTGTGGGGGTCTCCCCTATCTGTCCAGATGCCAAAAGAAGGAGGGCTTTCAATGTTGCTGAGGCCCAGGGTCCATCTCCCATTCGGACAACCAGTCCACTGGGCTCTGCTTCCAGGCATAGACCCGTCCCGGGGGCCATCTGAGGGCTGGGCGGTGCTCTCTGCTGGACTAAGGTCTGGAGGACCCGCGGGCAAGCTGGGCTGGGCTGGGCTGGGAGCCAGGCCCGGTGGGAACCCTGGAAACTGACTCCCTTTGGGGCCACAGGGATGGTTTCGTGGCTTTGTCTCCTGACCCACTCACCCAAGGCAACCGGATCCCCTTGTGCTCCCTTTAATTCCGGTGACTTCTGTGGGCTGGGCCCTTTCTTCTCACGCCAGGAGAAGCGGGGGGCTCTCTTTTCTTCCTCCCAGGGCGCGGGGGCTGTGGAGCCGAGCCAGAGCCTAAGCCTATTGACTCATCCAGGCTCTCTCGCTGCAGCGGCCTCCAGCACAACCGCATCTGGGAAATTGGAGCCGACACCTTCAGCCAGCTGAGCTCCCTGCAGGCTCTGTGAGTACCCGCGCCCAGGGTGCCCTCCCAGCAGGCTCAGACCCACAGCACGTGGGTCAGTGACACACACAGCCTCCCTGCCCCAGCACACTCAGGAGGAGGGCTTTCCCCTTCCACGTGGCTTCTCAGCCCCTTCTCCAGCTGGTTCCCCAGGGTCCAGGAGGCTCTAAGCCACGCTGCCACATCTGTTTTTCTGGGGCCACAGCCGCATCGGGAGCCAGGCAGCTGGCACCTTCCACAAAGGGCTGAGGGTGGCGCTGCTGGGGCCGCTCAGATGGGGCGGGTGAATGATAGCCCAGGGTGGGACCTAGGAGTCCACCACTGCCCCCTCAGTCCACTGTCGCTGTCCCCTCCTGTCACACCCTCTCTGTTCATAGGGACCTGAGCTGGAACGCCATCCGGACTATCCACCCCGAGGCCTTCGTGACCCTCCGCTCCCTGGTCAAGCTGTAAGTGCCCACGTCGCTCTCCTCCTGGATGCTGGAGACCAGTCGGGACTGTGGTCTGGCCGGTGGGGGCAGGGCGGGGACGTGTGTGACTGTGTGCCCGCACGTCCCAGGGAGACGGGCTCCAGCCTCGTCAGTCTTCCTGACAGTCCGCTGACAGGCCGTGGGGCCTGAGGCACAGAGCCGCCTCCTGCGAGCTCCGGGACGTCATCTGGGGATGCTCGGACATTAAGGGCCGCTCAGCCCAACCCATGCCCAGCCTCTCCCCCAGCCTCCCCCTGCACCGGGAAAGAGGCTGTGCGCCCTGGCACTCCCTCACAACACGGATGGTGGCAGCAGACATGGGAGCCAGGGTCTCAGAGAGCTCGGCAGGGCCTGCATGAGCATTGCTGTGCAGTTGTGAGCCGCACACTGATGTGTCGGTCAACAATCGACTGCATACATGACTATGGTCCCCTAAGGTTAGTACCACACAGCCTAGGTGTGTAGTAGGCTGTGCCACTTAGGTTTGTGTGAGGACACTCTGTGATGTTCACACAACAACCAAATTGCCTAACGGTGCCTCTCACAGAACGTGTCTCCGTTGTTAAGTGACGCATGACTGTAGAGGGTGCCGATCTTAGAGGGTCCTCTAAGTTATGTAGGATGTAAGCAGGGAGCACAGAGCACTGGCTGCATGGTCATTATGTCGGGGCTGGAAGGGCCTCTGTCGGGGCTGCCACACACTGTGGTGCAGGTTGTTCACTGCACAAGGTCTCCCAGCCAAGGGAGAGCTGACGGCCAGCCACTTGCGTGTCCTAATAAGGGTGTGTCCACCCAGCCAGGGCCCTTTCTGATTAACACCAAGACCCCTTCTGAGCTAGCACCAGCCCCGGCCTCTGAGATGGTCCAGCCCCACCCCTCGCTTCACAGGAGAGCCCTCCAAGGCCCAGGGGAGGAGCTTGCTCACAGTAGAGGGCCAGAATGCGGCCTCCTGTGCCCTCACTGCCCTCTCCCCACTGCCCTCTCCAGTCTGCTGCTCTCTGGGCTCCGGGCCGAGCCTCACAGAATTCTCCCTCTCCTGCTTCTGTTTGCTCTCCTCCTGCCAGATAGGTAGGGGGTGTTTTCATCCCTTTGAGGGATGAGGACATCGACGCTCAGGCAGCTCTCTGAGTCCCCTGGTCACACAGGGAGCTGGCCACAGCCCCAGGCTTCCTGCTTGCCTGGCCAGGCTGTTTCCACGACGCACAGTCTGTGGTGTGTGTTTGGTTTGGAGCCCCAGCTTCCTCTAACGCGTCTCCGGTAGAGGACGGTGCACGCCCTCACCTCTGGCTGCTGAGCCGGCCGTGGGAGATGGAGAGGATGACCAAATCCCTGCGTGAGGCCAGATGGCGGCTCAGGCCTCTTGTATCATCAGAAAAGCAGGGGAATGGGGGCCAGCACGGACAAGCTGATGCCCTGGGGGGCGGACAGAGGCTCCGAATGGGGCTCAGGCCAGGCGCAGGAGTGGGGATGACGGCCCTGTTAGCTGACTTGGGGTGGCTCGGCATTGCCTTAGAACGTCCCTGATATGTAGCTGGCACTATTGGATGACTGTTTGATGATTGACTGACTGGCTGAGTTACGGACGGTGCCTCTGGCAGCCTGACCACCCCTCCCCTTCTCTCTGTGGTGGTTTCTCCTCTGTACCTCTCCTCTTGCTTCCATCCCAGGCACACTGGCCACACCCTCAGCATAGCCCCGCCCCCCCCCAGCAGCCCAACTGACTGCCGGTAACCCTCACCATCCGCTGTCCTAGGGACCTGACCGACAACCAGCTGACCACTCTGCCCCTGGCCGGACTCGGGGGCCTGATGCATCTGAAGCTCAAGGGGAACCTGGCTCTGTCTCAGACCTTCTCCAAGGACAGTTTCCCGAAACTGAGGTGAGGGCCTGGCTTTCCCCACGCCTGGATAGGATGGCCCCAGGGCAGCGGGAGAGGCTGTGGAGGGACAGGGAGAAAGCCACAGGGCCTCAGCCCAAGAAAAGCCTGGTGGCCCAGCGGCTTAGGGTGTGGCCAAGACTGAGTGGGAAGGGTTCGTGCCCCACCCTCCATCTCCTTTGCAACATTTCCCCCGTCCCAAGCACCAGCCCTCCTGTGGGGGCCTCTTCGTTCCCTGCCCCATTCTCTGCACCCGGATGCCCATCCTTGGGCAGCGTCTGGGCCCTGGACTCAGGGCAGCGCCCAGGGCACCAAGGAGGGGAGAGCAGACTGCACACCAGGGCCCGGTGCTAATGGCATCCAGGCCTCCTGATGATGCAGCCGTGGCTGTAGCCTGTGTGGCCTGAGCCTCACCTGCTGCAGACCAACGAGATGCCCGAGGCCTCTGCCCTCACCCTCAGAGGGCACGACTCTGGCTCTGCTGCGCCCAGGGCTGGGTCAGGGACCGGGTGTGGGTCTTGCTGGGGCAAGACTGAAGGATCGTCGGAGAACCCCGTCTCCTTTAATGTAAAAGAAGAGCTGCCGCCCGGGCGGGGAGCGGAGCCCCCGGAGCTGCATGGCCTGGGTCAGTTGCTCCCACCCTGAGCCTGCTGGGGGGCCTCCCTAATTGCGGACAGAAAGCGCGTCTCCCTGTCTCGGCTCTCCAGGTGAACGAGGAGAAGCCTGGCACATGCTCAGAGCCCTTCGGAGGCTGCAACACCCTCACAGAGAAAGCCCAGGAAGTTGCTTGCGTGGGAATCAGGGTGCTTCGGGGTCAGAGGGCAGGTGCTGAGTGCCCGGCCCCTGACCATTCCTAAGCCAGCCATCTCGCCCCCGCCCCCAGGATCCTGGAGGCACCCTACGCCTACCAATGCTGCGCCTATGGCATATGCACCAGCTTCTTCAAGGCCTCAGGGCAGTGGGAGGCTGAGGACGCTCACCTTGCAGACAAGGAGGCTCCGAAGAGGCCCCTGGGCCTCCTCGCTGGACAAGCCGAGAACCACTGTGAGTGACGGGGCCCCGGGCAGGGCGGGGGGTGCTATAAGGGGAAGTTGGGAGGAGGCTCAGGGACCCTGAGGGGACCTGGCAGGGCTGCAAAAGGAAACCTCGGGCAGGGACACTGGTGACCTGGAAGAAAACTGCCTCTGCTCGCCCCTTGTCACTCCAAGGCCACGCCCCAGAGGCTCATGGGGAGAGAGAATGACCATGACAATGACAGGGCTAATGCCTCCAGATTCGCAGAGCCCTTTCAGGTCGCATGTGCATGTCCCGCGACAGGCCACCCTTGCAGATTGAGTGTTTCTTCCCCACGGCCACCTCCTCACCACATGGGCCCTTCAACTGGAGAGCATTCTCAGAGAAGACATCCATTTTCTAATCAACCTGAGCCAAGTAGGATGGAATTAAATCGATGAAAGGAAACCTGCTTACAGAAAAGAACAAGTCCCCTCACTGGGACAGCGTAGGGACTCATTGCCATGGGAGCTGTCCTGCCCCTCCAGTCGGCCCCAGCACGCCACAGTGAGACGCCACAGGCCACTGGGGGCAGGAACGCCTCGCAGAGGAGGCCATCACAGCACGGCCGTCTTGGACCCCATTGGTTGCTTCTGGGGCAAAAAGGTTGGACACAGCCGCCCGAGGGGGTTCCAAGGGCTCGTCTCCTGGGCAGTGTCTCGGATGAAGGCTGCCCTCCCCCACCCCGCGTTACAGAACACACGCAGAATCAGGAGGTGGAGGAAAGGGCCCCTGAGTTTGGGGTTTCTTCTTCAACCTCTAACCCCCTCGCCACGGAGGACAACATATCCATGGAGGAACTCAACAGAACAATCCAGTCTAAACACGTAAAGAAAGCATCTCGTGATGGTGTAGACAGACCTGGGTTCTAAACCCGACCACACCATTCACAGCCTGGTAGCCTGGGGCAAGTGATATCACCTCGCTGAGCCTGGGTCCCCGCATCTGTAAAATGAGCATGACAGGACACATCTTTCTATCTCACGTTAGAGGATTCCATAGATGGCCAAGGATGTCCACTCAGACCACTCCAGCTGCGGCGGCTGAGAACCAGGTGCCCTCTGGTGCGTGTGTAAGAGGGTGTAGATGTAGACGCGGCTTAGGGAGGCCAACCATTGTGCAGGCACTTGGGGGTCTCCGGATCCCCCGTCCTGGTTCACTAAAGCCCCTCCTGGGGAGGGCGTGAGGATGTGCGAGGAGGAGCCCGCAGCGAGGCTGCTCTGGGCCTGCAGACGGCCGTCCAGCGCCTGGTCCCGGATGTCTGCTGGACACTCCCTCAGGGGCTGGAAGGAGGAATGGAAACTTTCCTTCCTCCAGGTGAAACTTTCCACCAGGCTCAGGTCTGGGAGGACCGCAGGGCGTCGGCTCACGGGCTGCCTGCCGCCGGTAACAGGAGCTGGGGCAGGGCCCCCCACTTCCTGTGGGAGCTAATGAGCCCGGGGAAGGAAAGCCAGGAGCTGCCGTGGCAGCCAGATCCAATTTCCTCCCCGTTTGAAGAGTGGTTACTTAACACCCTGGCTGTGACTTTCCAGCCTCAGCCGGGTCCACGGGTTTCGCCCCTGTATTTCATTCATGCCTTTTGATTTCAAAGAATTGCTGAGCTCTGTTCTGGAGGGCAGGGCGGGCAGGCTATGAAAGGTGGAGAGGGAAGGAAATGCCAGGACTCTGGGCACGCCTCGGCCTCCTGCCGCCCAGATGGTGTCCGGGCCAGGACAGCTCCCAGAGCCTTCCTGCCGCCTGGGAGAACTCCCAACTGGAAGTGCTCACTCTCTAAGTGGAGAAGAAGGATCCACACAGGAAACAACCACGTGAGCCAAAGATGGGGACCAGCCACGAGCGGTCCCCACTCCATCGCCAAACGACGGACGGAGGAAGAGCCACAGGGCGCTGTCTCTCAGACCTCAACAACGTGCAGGCGCAATTCTCTTGCACCCCTGAGGGCCTTGGACATCGTTCCCAGTCTGACTTCTCGAGAAACTAAATTCTTATTCTTAAAAAGTCTCTCTCTGATGAATTATTGCTGCAGAAGAGAGTTTTGTCTTTATAAGCTATAACATGTTTTAGATTGTCAGTTCAAAATTCTGATAGAATTACGGTCCCCCAGGATGTCCATAACGCCTCTGGAGTCTGCAGGCCCTGGTTTAAGAAACACTGCAGTAGAGAATAAGAAAAAAAAAAAAAATCCCATTTGACCCAAACATGTTACAGAATTTCTTTAACAGTGGATTTACCATTCTAACCCTATGTCCTCAGACTAGCAGATTCGCAGAGCCCAGATTTAGAGTCGGGAGGATGGTTAAAGATGATCTCGTCCAGCCTCTGACTCATACAGAAGTGCTCTTTCTCACCTTAGGGACCTTCTGCTCCCATATCCCAGTGACAAGCTATGCCCAGCTCACATATCTGTAGGGCTCCCTCAACACCCTCCCGCCCCCAAATCAGTCCCTCTGGGAAGAGCGATGGTTGAACGTCCGGGTTCTAGATGGACAAAACTGGGTTTGAATTCTGCCTTGTGGCTCGCCGGCTGTGACACCTGCAGCAAGCCACTCAACTCCCCGAGACTCAGTTTCCTCATCTGTCAAATGATGGCAAAGGGGCACCTGCCTCGTGCGGCCGCTGTGACGGCTGATGAGACTGTGGGGGTGGCTCAGAGGCGCAGTGCCTGGTGCGCAGGACGAGCCCGAGAAGCCTCAGCCCTCAAGGTAATACATCTGTTAGTCGGTGCAGTGCATGCTGTCTTGAGGGCCTGATCCTCGTTTGTCTCCACGGGCTCCTCGAGAGCAGGGCCATGTCTTGGTCACCCTCAAATTCCTCCACACATGCCCAACGCCCGGCATATGTCAGGCAGGCACTCTGCACACCTGGGCCTCCGTCCTACCCCTCTGTCGGACAATCTAATTGTGGGAATTGACTTGTGTTGGTAAGAACTCAACTTCTCCGTTTGAATCGTAATTTGCCTCCTTCCACACCCATCCGTTGGCGCTGGCTCTCCCCCGAGACAGCACAGCATGCAGGGTGCATGTGCCTCACGCCTGACAGCCCTTCAGCTCCCTGAGGCAGCCATCACATCCTCACCAACTCCCGCCAACCTCACTCGCTGGACTGTTTCTCACCCAGCAGCTTCCACTCACCCACCTCTGAACGCGCTGCAGCTCCCCGCTCTGTCTTAAGAAGACGCCCTCCTTAACGCACAGTGTTTACAACTGGACATGGGGTTACGGTGCGGACGGGCCAGTGTGGAGAACCGTGGGACTCCTGGCTCCCATTGTGAAGGCAGCCTGCGCCCTCCCTCTCAGCAGCGCCCTGGACTCAGGCTGCCTGAAGGGGATGCGGGAGCGCACTGAGTTGTAGGAAGAGCCAGGCTCGCGTGAAACGTTTGCCACGAAGAACCAATGAGGCAGGGGATCCACGTGTGGAAACAGCGAGCTGACTGAGGGTTTACTCTCGAGGGTAGAAATGGTGTGCAGGGCTGCTGGACTGACCCGGGCCAGCCGAGAGAGTCGGGATGGCTTCTCAAAGGGCAGCGTTTGGAGAAAGGTAGGGCTTGCTGGACACCAAGACCAGGGCCCCCAGCCACTTTCTGGTCTCCCCTCTCAGATGACCTGGACCTGGACGAGCTCCAGCTGGAGATGGACACAAAGCCACAGCCCAGTGTCCAGTGCAGCCCCGTTCCAGGTGAGATGGGCACCTTGGGGCAGGGTGGGACTGGGGACAAGTGTTTATCAAGATGCCAGTTCAGCCTGGCACGTCTGTCACCATGCTTCAGGCACTTTCTCTGCCCGGGACCCAGCCTGCAGGGGAGGACAGCCTCTGCTGGTGACTCCTGAGGAAGGAGCTGGAATTCTCTCCCTGGAACGGCTGCTGGGGGCAGCAGTGGGAGAGGGTGTGGGGTGGGGAGTCCAAGTGACCTTCTCAAACCGGCCAGTTAGAGGTTATCTGTCTGGGAAAAAATTTCTCTCAGTGGGGCCGGCCCAGTGGCGCAGCGGTTAAGTTCACACGTTCCGATTCTCGGTGGCCCGGGGTTCGCCGGTTCAGATCCCGGGTGCGGACCATGGCACCACTTGGCAAAAGCCATGCTGTGGTAGGCATCCCATGTATAAAGCAGAGGAAGATGAGCATGGATGTTAGCTCAGGGCCAGTCTTCCTCAGCAAAAAGAGGAAGATTGGCAGTAGTTAGCTCAGGGCTAATCTTCCTCAAAAAAAAAAAAAAAATTCGCTCAGTGAAGACAGAAGCAGGGAAGAATATCTTGACCCCCTCGCTCAGGGTGGAGGGTGGGGCTGCTTCTGAGCACTCCCTCAGCCTAAGACCCGCAGAATCCTAGAGCAGACGGAATTGTGAAAGGTCACTTTCTCCATCCCTCTCTGCGGCATCCCACGGAGACCACTGTCCTCTTTCCTAAGACTCTCCGGGCTATAAACACAGTGCGGGATCTGGGTAACTCCTTGCTGTCCTGTCTGACCCCTCAGCGGAGGAAGCCTCCTGTGGGGTCTAGCCGAAATCCGTCTTGCCGTAAAGAAAGAGGGAAAACGCTTTCTCCTTGGTGCAATTCAACCTAAGGCATTTGGGCTGAAGAAGTGCCTTCGCTTGGGTATAAACGCCAACAGGCTCCCAGACGGCACAGCACCTCGCCAGCACAGGGACAGCTCAGAGTGGACAGTGGGCTTCCCTGCTTCACTCGCCTCCATCTTCCAGTGTCCCTCCCTCTTTGGGTCAGTCCCCTGCTTCTCCCTTGCCCCGGTGAGGCTGGAACAGCGCTGCCAGCCGCTGCCCAGCACCTGCACGCGGGCTTAGTGGCTGCAGCGCGCCCTCTGGTGCCCGCCCGCGGGGAGAGCGGTGGCGCGAGGCAGGAAGCAGCTGGTGGCTTTGCTGACAGAAACCCGCGTCCTTGGCACTGTCACAGAACTCGCACCTTGAAAACCAAGCATCGGCAGCAACGAGGTGAAAAAGCTCCTACAGACAAAGTCCAACTTGGGCTTGCTTCTAAGAGAGCTCATACAGACGGGTCCTCCAAATGGTGCAGTGTTAACTACATGGCCACTGAAAACATGTTTTTGAGGAAGATGAGGATATGGGGAAGTGAATAATAAAATTTTAACTTAATAAAAGAGAATTAAAAACTACATACTGTAAAATCTCAATTTAGTTTAAAAATATATACAGATTTAAAACCTGGAAGAAAATATACCGAAATGAGGAGTTCTCCCTGAGAGGTGGGATCATAAGCAGTTTTAATTTTTCCATGTTATATTTTCTGCTTTTTCTGCAGTTGCCCTCTATTATTTTGTAATTAGAAAAAATACATAGGAGCCGGCCCTGTGGCCGAGTGGTTAAGTTCGCGTGCTCTGCTTCGGCGGCCCAGGGTTTCGCCGGTTCGAATCCTGGGCACGGACATGGCACCGCTCATCAGGCCATGTTGAGATGGCATCCCACATGCCACAACTGGAAGGACCTACAACTGAAAAAAATCCACAACTATGTACCGGGGGGCTTTGAGGAGCAAAAGGAAAAATAAAATCTTAAAAAAAAAAAGAGACAGCACTCTAAATTAAAAAAAATATATATGTGTATATATATATATATATTTAAAACCCAGCTCCCAAGAGAGCTATTTTTCTCAAATTTCCAAGCTACCCAGCAATACATTGCAGAACGGGAGTCTGCAGCCTAAGGAAATGAAGAGAAACACTATGTCCAAAGTTCTAAGGTGATTTAAGGACATAACCTGGAGGAAAAGATGCAAACACCAGGATCCCACCTGTCTAGTGAGCCAGACTGGAAAACCTCAGAGGTCTTCTTGCCTTACTTAGTATGCTTCGCCTCCCCAATACTGCTTGGCTCCACGAGCGTTCAACGTGGTCTCTGTCCCTCTCTCAGAGCAAGGGAGAGCCAGCCTGGTATGACGCCCGGTCAGGGCTCAGCCACGGCGGGTCCTAGTGGACCACTGGGCACCGGCAGAGAAGCAGAGCCCTGGGCTGCAGAGGGGTCGCTCTCGGTGGGCCCCTCACACCCTTGTGTCTCTACCCTAGCCACGTCACCAGTTTTGATGCCCTCTCCACTCCTTTCTGCCAGCCTGTCCCTTCCTTCCTTCCAAATGTGGCTCCTTTGCACAACCTGCTTCGCCGTCCCTCCGTGCCTGTCTCACTGCGTTACTGATACTCTGTGTATGTTTGTTATGTGTTTCTAATTTCTGGGTGGGGTGGTTCGTGTTCACCCCATTTGCAGCTCCTCAGAAGAAGAGCTGTGTCTATGCCCGCTGTTGCTCTCACTACCCCTAACTGGGAGTTCTCAGAGACCTTGTCGGCCTCCCAGACGGCAGATCCCTGAGTGCAGAGACCGGCTCAGCCTCCCTCAGAGGGGGTCCGCAGAGGGAACGGGCTGCATTAGCCTCCCTGGCCTTGTCCCCAGGCCCCTGTGTCAAGCAGCCTCTGGCCCAGGGGTGATGTCTCATCCTCTCTCCCACAGGCCCCTTCAAGCCCTGCGAGCATCTCTTTGACAGCTGGGGCATCCGGCTGGCTGTGTGGGCCATCGTCCTGCTCTCCGTGCTCTGTAACGGACTGGTGCTCCTCAGCGTGTTTGCCGGTGGGCCTGCGCCCCTGCCCCCTGTCAAGTTTGTGGTGGGTGCCATCGCAGGTGCCAACACCTTGACTGGCATTTCCTGCGGCCTCCTGGCCTCCGTCGACGCCTTGACCTTTGGCCAGTTCGCCGAGTACGGTGCCCGCTGGGAGACGGGCCTGGGCTGCCGGGCCACGGGCTTCCTGGCCGTGCTGGGCTCCGAGGCCTCCGTGCTGCTGCTCACCCTGGCCGCCGTGCAGTGCAGCGTCTCCATCTCCTGCGCCCGCGCCTACGGCAAGGCGCCCTCCCTGGGCAGCGTCCGCGCCGCGGCCCTGGGCTGCCTGGCGCTCGCCGGGCTGGCCGCCGCGCTGCCCCTTGCCTCGGTGGGAGAGTACGGGGCCTCTCCCCTCTGCCTGCCCTACGCCCCACCGGAGGGCCAGCCCGCGGCCCTGGGCTTTGCGGTGGCCCTGGTGATGACAAACTCCTTCTGCTTCCTGGTGGTGGCCGGTGCCTACATCAAACTCTACTGCGACCTGCCGCGCGGCGACTTCGAGGCCGTGTGGGACTGTGCCATGGTGAGGCACATGGCCTGGCTCATCTTCGCAGACGGGCTCCTCTACTGTCCCGTGGCCTTCCTCAGCTTCGCCTCCATGCTGGGCCTCTTCCCGGTCACCCCGGAGGCCGTCAAGTCTGTGCTGCTGGTGGTGCTGCCCCTGCCTGCCTGCCTCAACCCGCTGCTCTATCTGCTCTTCAACCCCCACTGCCGGGAGGACCTGCGGCGGCTCTGGCCCTGCACGCGGGCCCCGGGGCCCCTAGCCTACGCCGCCGCCAGTGAGCTGGAGAAGAGCTCCTGCGACTCCACGCAGGCCCTGGTGGCCTTCTCGGATGTGGATCTCATTCTGGAAGCTTCCGAGGCTGGGCGGCCCCCTGGGCTGGAGACCTATGGCTTCCCCTCGGTGACTGTCATCTCCTGTCAGCAGCCAGGAGGCCCCAGGCTGGAGGGCAGCCATTTCGTGGAGCCAGAGGGAGCCCGCGTTGGGAACCCGCCCCCCTCCATGGGTGGAGAACTGCTGCTGAGGGCAGAGGGGGCCACGTCAGCAGGCGGGGGCCTGTCAGTGGGCAGGGGCTTCCAGCCCCCTGGGTCAGCCTTCGCCTCACACTTATAAGTGTCTTCCCCATTCTTCTCTTCCCATCTCTTCCCTTCCCTCTCCTCTCCCTCCATGAATGACGGCTGCTTGTAAAATAAATACAACCGAAACCCAACAGCGTGACCCACGCAGGATGGCCCGGCCCCTGGCTCCGTTGGTCTCCTCTCTCCCATGGCCGTCACCAACATGTGCTTCTTGGCCTGGCTTCCCCTTGGCCTTCCTCTGGGCCTTTCCCCTGTCAGGTCGGCAGCTGTGGGCCAGAAACCTGGGAATCTGTCCACTTCAGGGAAACGAGAGAAGCAAAGACAGGGACTGGGGTGGGGACTGACAAGGTCCAGGGTCAGGGTGCGTGGGCAGGGGGACCTCCCAGAGAAAGGCCTGGGGGCCTGCCCAAGGCTCTTGGGCCTCTCCCCCGTGACTCACGGACAGGATAGGAAATGTGCTCTGTGTCCCATTAATCTTGAGATGTGCCATGCAAAAAGACAGCCTATTAAAACAAGCTTTGGAGGATATTACCCACCACGTCCCTTTCTTAGAGATTCGCAGCGCATGTCAGCGTAGCAAAGGCTCTGAGAATTCCTGTGGCAGTGAATCTGCTGAGCTTCATTTAACTCAGTTCCTCAAATTATTTGACAACAGGTTTTTGTTTGCTTGTTTGGTTTTCATGCCATATCTATTAATGTTTCACAGAATCTGGCACTGCTCTCTGCCAGGGGGCTCATCTCTGTACCATCTAGCGCTACCCATTGACATCACAAGATGCCACAAATCCTTGAAAGCCTCCATCCCAGGTGCTCCACCTGGGGGAAAGTGGATGATCCCATGAACCAGAAGAGCCTCTCCACGCGTACCTTCCCATCCCTCTTGTCCCAGCCCTGTGGTTCCACCCTCAGCCTGCATGGGTGCAGGGACAAAGGAACCCATATGTGCTCCCACTGCCTCCCCAGGCGCAGCCACCATTGAAACTTCTACCCTCAGTAGGAGGGAGGGTTCCTGGGTCCCGGCACGGTACACACAGGGGAGGCCGGGGCTGTCTGGCTTCCCTCTGGCTTTGGGTCACCTTCCTGTGGTTCTCATCATATGCCCCTTGCCACCTCCTGCCACAACCCTGGTCCTCCTTTCGCATCCCAGGATCTGCCTTCTCTGTGGGACGGGAGCCTTTGGCCAACAAACTGGAGGGATGTTTGTGCTGTAGGAAGCACCAGAGGCATCTGGGATTCCTGGGTGCCCCAGACAGGCCACGAGTCTTCTGCCTCTCCTGTCATAACCTTCCTACCTTGTGGTTTACCCAGTGCCTCTGAGTGTTTCCAGAGCCCCGCTCCCCGCCCTAAGCACAGACACATTCCACGTCAGGATGAGGAGGTGAGAGCAGGGGCATTCCTGCAGACATCAAAGGAGAACCCAAGGCTCAGAAAAGGGTGGGCCTTGTTCCAGGGCACCCCAACCTCAGTCACACCAGGACAGGAGGCTGGGATCCCAGACCGAGTGCAACCATCCTCCTCCTGAACCCTGTCGTGGTCCTCAGCCGGGCCCTGCCCCACGGGCTCCACTACCAAGGCGACCCTGAGAAAGTCCCTCTAGTTTCTCAGCCTGCAGCTCAGCTTCTCTTCTGCCTCCCTGCTGCGCCCAGCGCCTCACGGACATCCTGGCGGGAGTCATCAGGCTGCCCAGGCTGCGGGGTGAGGCGGAGACCGTGAGTGGATCTTGGTGGGTTCCTAAATCTTGATTGACCAGCTGAATTGCCTGGACTCTTTCAGGCTCTGAAGCTGAACGTGCTGACCTTGTAACGACAGAAGAACCTAGGGGCCTCGCACAGGGTCAGCCTCAGCGTGGGCTTCACTACACGGCGGGGGAGTCCTTTTTCACTGGGTTATCTGAGATCTCCCGGTCTCACCGTTTCCCAGGGCTGAGCAAGAGCCACCAATGGAAGGAGTTTGCTCTACTTTGGGAACTGAGAGTTGCTGACTCTGATGTGGGAAACGACTTTTCTGAGATGTCCCAGGGATGATGAAGTTGGTGTCATTTTTGGGAGCCTTGACTTCTGGGACGTCACCCAGGCCCTTCGTCATAGCTGCCCCCTCCCTGTGTGGCCACTGTCCCGCTTGGAGTCAGGGAGCCAGCGCTGAGTGGGCTGTGGAGTGGAGTGGCCATGTGCTGGAGGTTTAGGAGGTACAGGCACTGTTCCCGACAGGTGGCCTGTCCACGACAAGGGGGCCAGTGCTTTTTGGCTGAAGCTCCAGGGTGGCACCGCTGGCATCCTATCGTCTGCCCCTAAAGGTCTGGGCATCTGCCATGGCTGGCCCTGTGATCAGAGGAGAGATGTGCGGGAAGGGAGTGGAGGTGTTTGCCATGAACTATTTTTGCTATTCAAAAAGCCTAGCAGACCTTGTACATTTACCCGAAATAAGACTGTCAAGTTTCTTTGTGTTTGACTGACTTTCTAGCAAGGCAGTATGTTACTCCTCTGGTTATCTCCATTGTGATCAGCAGAAGACCATGAAGATCGTGTACATCTTTGATTAAACACAACACCAAAAGCCAAATAATTCACTGCATGTAAACGCATTCTGTCTGGTCAACGAAATCCTCCAAATGGCGTCCACAGGGAGCAATCCATCCAGGGGGCTGCTGCGTTGGAGGCGCTGGGAACTGCCGACCTGGCAGGGATCGCCCTGGCCCCTGTGTGGCTCCTCAGCAAACAGTGTCAACCACAAGCTCCTCTCAGGACAACACGTGGAGAGAACGTCCTCCACGGAGCACGGGTCTCCAGCTCCTCGGTCCGCACCAAGAGAAAAGCCCCCACTTCAGCGCTGAGCTCTGAAGACTAGGGATCAGCAGAGCCTGAACTGGGGCCCTCTTTGACTTCCTCTCCTCTCCTCCAGCTTCCCAACTCCTTCCCAACTTTCCTTTTCCAGAAAACAAAAGGTCTAAGGACGGAGAGAGGGAGGGGAAGGTGGAAGAGCTGATGAGTGAGTTGGCCTGAGTGAGAGAGGGCGATGGGAGGTAGCCGGGGGGCCCTGATCTTTTTGGCCCCACCTCCTCTGACTACCTCGGCTCCGTGTAGCCAGTTCTCCCGCCCACTGGCCCCTGTGTCACTTCTGGGTCCCAGTCCCACGTCTTCAACAGCTGTGTGAAGTGTAAGAATTGTCAGGATGTAAATATTTGGATTCTTCTGTGTAATAAAGCACAAGTGAAGCCACACGGGCGTCCCTCACTCCTTCCGCTGCCTCAGGTAGAGCCGAGGGCTGCTCTGAGAGAGGAGTCACCTGGCTGCCAGGGCCCTTCCTCCACCTGTCTTCTGAGGTCTGGGGCGTCTGGGGCACCCAGATGAGGGATCAGAGTCAAGTCCACTCATGCGCATGTGAGTGGCCTTTGTCTGCTTGGCACTGGGTTGGAGAGAGAATAATCTAAAGGAGGCAGACAACAAGTTGGGCCTCGTATCACTCAGACCCTGAGCACGCTCTCAGACCCAAGCCTGTTCCTGGGGTTTCCCGACACTGTGAACCCCAAAGAATCAGCCTGCTTTCCTCTCCTTGGGTAACCTTCCGTGCCCACTCTGTGCCTTGGGCATCTCCTCCCCCAAGCCTCGCCTCACAGTGGGATGCTGTCCCCAAGACCACCAGGGGAGCCTCTTCTCAAGGTGAGAGAAATTGACTGGGTTCAACAAAAGTGCCTGACTCCCTTCTGGGAGAACAAATGGTGCCCTCACAGCACCGTTTCTATTCTTATTGAAAACAGAATTCCAAACTCCTCCATCCTTCTGGCCCAGCTGCAGGAAAGCCTGCTCAGCTGTTGCTGCTAGACTATTTGGGTTGACAGAAGAGACACAAGTAAGTGGGTGTCCCCTAAGAGGATATGTGGGGAGCAATAAGGGAGGCAGAATCTCAGCAAGTGCAAGACTGGAGAGAGCACTGGGGCTGGGCCTGGAGTCTGAGACGGGAGGGTTGCTGTGGGTATGAGGCAGCTCCGGGACCCAGCCCGGGAGTCTGTGATCAGTCAGCCTGGAGCCCACCATTAGCAGGCCCAACTGCTCTCTGTTGGCCTGTCCGGATGTCTGTCTGCTTCCCAACCACAACTCACTGCTCCTCCTCACCCCCTTTCATAAATCTAATTTTGAATACTACATTCATAATACATTCATAGGGTTCAAATAACATACATGTTTTCAGCAGTCTCCCCCTCCTCCATCTCTGCCTGCCCATGTCCCGAATCTCCACCACTCTTACCAGTTTCTTATACATCCTCCCAGAGTTTCTTCACGCAATACAAACAAAATACACATATATTCTTATTTTTCCTTTCTCCCCAAAAGGCGGCATCCCACAATTCTGCTTCTGCTTTTTCACTTACTAACATAGCTCAGAGACCTTTCCGTATCAGTACAGAAAGCTTTCTCATCTTTTTGCAGTAGCTTATATCCCATTATGTAAATATATCATAAATTGCATTTACCCCTTCTCCTGGACATCAGGGTTGCTAATCTTTGCTCTCACAAGCAGCATTGCGACAGGCAACCTTGGGTGTGCGTCCTTCAGACACGTGGAAGTACACCTGTAAGATGATTCCCAGAAGTGGAACTGGGAGGCAAGGGGGTGGTTTTAGGTTTTGGTCCGGAAGACGCAGAGAGGCGTGGGGGCCAATGGGCGGGACGACCCTGAGGCCTGTGGGGGAGGCCGTGTCCGTGGGGCCGTGGTACCGGCGGCAACAGGTCGGCGCCCCCTGAGCGCCGGCTCCTTGTGGCCCCACCCCGAAGCCCCGCCCCCTGAGCCCCGGCTCCCTCTCCCCCCGAGGCCCCGCCCCCTGAGCGCCGGCTCCTTGTGGCCCCACCCTGAGGCCCCGCCCCCTGAGCCCCGGCTCCCTCTCCTCCCGAGGCCCCGCCCCCTGAGCGCCGCTCCCTGTGGCCCCACCCCGAGGCCCCGCCCCCTGAGCACCGCTCCCTCTCCTCTCCCCGAGGCCCCGCCCCCTGAGCACCGCTCCCTCTCCTCTCCCCGAGGCCCCGCCCCCTGAGCGCCGGCTCCCTGTGGCCCCACCCCGAGGCCCCGCCCCCTGAGCGCCGCTCCCTGTGGCCCCACCCCGAGGCCCCGCCCCCTGAGCCCCCGCTCCCTCTCCTGTCCCCGAGGCCCCGCCCCCTGAGCCCCCGCTCCCTCTCCTCTCCCCGAGGCCCCGCCCCCTGAGCCCCCGCTCCCTCTCCTCTCCCCGAGGCCCCGCCCCCTGAGCGCCCGCTCCCTCTCCTCTCCCCGAGGCCCCGCCCCCTGCGCAGGCTCCAGGACGGATTCCAGGTGTGGGCTTCGCGGCAGGTGGGTTCGCGAGGTGGCCTCGGGACGCGCTTCTCTTGTGGGCACATTGGCTGCCCCGAGGGTCGGGGGGACCCGGCTCAACGGGAGGAGCAGGTCCTGCAGAAGCAGAAGCAGGAGCAGGAGGTCGGGGCCGGGCGGAGCCGGTGAACCCTGCGTCCACCGCCGGTTGCACTTGTTCGGGGGCCGCGCGGTTGGTGTGAGCGAGCCTCTGTGCAGAGACGAGAAAGGGACAGTCTGAGTGGCCGTACCTTGTCTTTACCTACGTGCTTGACTGTTCGTAACTCCTGCTCACCTGGGCCTGCTGGGGTCCCTTCCGCCTCGGTCCCTGGGTAATTGCCCCGTTTTCTTTTGGTATTTTCCAGGGTAATGTCCTGAGAGACTGTGTGGGAATCTGACCAGCCAGGCTGGGCCCAGTCATAGGTCAGCGGTCAACTGATGGGTTGACCACTGCTCGGCCAGGTACCTGTCCTGGACCGCTAACTTGTAGAGTATGGATGGGTGTGTTTGTGTAGGGTCATACTGCACAAAACATGGCTGCCCAGGGCTGCCCCTTGAGCAAGGGCTGTGGGCTACTTCTCTCAGAATGGACAGTGCCGGCCTGGCCCAGTGGCGCAGCAGTTTAGTGCACGCGTTCCGGGCTGTGGCCTGGGGTTCACTCATTTGGATCTGGGTGTGGACATGGCACCGCTTGTCAAGCCATGCTGTGGTGGGCGTCCCACATGTAAAGTAGAGGAAGATGGGCACGGACGTTAGCTCAGGGCCAGTCTTCCTCAGCAAAAAGAGGAAGATTGGCAGCAGATGTTAGCTCAGGCCTAATCTTCCTCAAAAAAATAAATAAAACTAAACATATCCATTGATGTCCGGGAGAACTGCCCCTCTGGCTCTCAGTTCAGCAGGTCTCCGTCATACCCTTGGGCATGTCCTTTCTCTTTATAAGAAAGCAGAGTGGGCCGACATTTCTCTGGTGAGATTTGAAGAGCCATCCAGTCCCCTGAGCTCTCCGCTCTAACAGCTCCTCCCCGGGCAGGCAGCCGCAGTGGTTGAAACTCCGCAGCTGCTGCTCCTTCTTCCTCCAGGTTAGGCCCTTTGCCCGGAGCATCTGCTGTGGAGGCTGCCCAGGAACCACTTCGCTTCCTCGCGTAACATCGACTGGCTTTCCTTCGTGCCCACTGCCCTGGGCTGCATGCGGTTCAGCTGGGGCTGACTCCACGCCCGGTTCCAGAGGAGGGATGGGGCCCAGCCTTCTCCGCTTATACTCTTCCCTGGCCGTGGTGATTGGTCCATGGGTGGGCTCCTATCTCAAGTCCTTCTGAGAGGAGGGCTCCCTGAGAGTGCGTTTGGACTTCTCAGTTTGTGAACCAGTGATTTTTGTTTGCTCGAGAGAGCTTGTTATTCTGTCACTTGCAGACGGACCTCTTTAACGACCCCTCTCTGCACCACCCCCTCCATGGCCCAGGGGACCCACTGGCCTCTTATCAACCGTTGGGGTGGAAGAGGGCAGGAATGGATGGGAACTTTGATGGATAGGCTGGGGGTGGGTGGTAGTGGGCCTGGGTGGGAGGCTCCTAGGGGTGACCTGGGGCAAGACAATGCTGGGGGCGGGGAATGGAAAGGGACGGTGAGAAGGTACCTGAGAGCAGCCTCATTCCATCATCACTGAACCCAGCATCCGCAGGGCCAGCCTCTGCCCTTTTCAGAATCACAGAACTGCCAAGTCCCAGCGCCAGGAGATGCCTTGGGTAGCATCTAAGCCCCTTTCTCATTTTCTAGAAGAGGAAACTGAAGGGGGAGGAGCTGCCGTTATCCACAGCTACTCTGGAGGGGAGTGAGGAGACTGTAAATATTGAGCAGCGTCTGTACAGTCATCACATGATTCTGGAATCAGACAGGCCTGGCTCTGAGTCCCAGGTCTCCCATGACAGCCATTGTCCTCAGGTTTTGCTTAACTTCTCTGAGTCCGTCTCCTCAGTAAAACGGGCCTAGTAATAAACTCTGAAGGTTATTGAAAAGATTAAAAGATTTTTTCGTGTAAAAAGCTTAGCTTCGTCCCCAGCACGTAGTAAGTACTTGAGAAATGTTAGCTGCTGTTATTATTACTACTCACACAATCCCAAAGATGAGGGCGCTGACTGGGGGCTCTGTGTCGTTCCCCGGCTCAGCCTTGAGAACTCTTGAGAAGGAAAGGAAGGGGGCCCAGAGGAGCGACTCCTGAGAGGACTGAAAAGCAGGGCAAGAAGTCTGTGGGTTGACAGGGGAGATGACCCCACAGGGGGCCCGGGGCCAGGAGGGAGGAGTGTCCTCGTCACACTCAGGTTAGCGGTGAGCCATCCGCAGAGGGAAAGCTGGACATTCCCCAGAAGGGACCACTTCACCACCTGGCCCTATTCAGGCCATTCCTCAAACACACTCCTGGGTCTGGGCAGAGCCTGGAGACTAACAGCTCACCCCTGGGGGAGTCGCCTCTGGTGGGAGGTTTGGCGGAAGGATCCCTCAGCAGGCCTTCCTTTGAAGCAGAGTTGCAGGGTCCTTGTTAAAGGGTGCAGGCAGTGGAGGAAGGGGGCATGGTCTCCTGGGAGGTGGGGTCAGGGGAAAGGCAAGCACATGAGTGGAGAGGCCCTGGAGGAGGGGTGGGAGGAGGGTGGGCGGGGAGAGACACTGGATGACCTGTCTTCCCTGATAGAAGCTGAGAGCTGGAGCTAGGGATGGGCATTCCCTGGGGGCCATGGCAGGAGCCAGGGGCCACTTGCAAGACGCAAGGGGGAAGTGGAATGTGTTGTCTGTGGGCACATCTGTGTCCCTCACCCCAGCCTCTCTGGCAGCCCTGTGTGGGACTCCAGCTGCCCCGTGGCCAGCCGTCCTGGGGAGCAGGTTCTGAAACCACAGCCCCACACCCCACCCCGTC